CACTCCATCCCGTTCTAGATCCCGGTCTAAGCCAAAGGGTGGCAATGGCCATGAAGGGAACCCGGCATTCACGGTGAGCTGGTCAGACGTGGTTGAAGGGACGCGCCCTGAGCCTTCGGGGAAGACTGCGCCTAATCTCAGTCACATAGCGGAGCCGAAAAAAGAAAACGCTGAGCTTAGAAGAATTGATATCACAGCTTCCTCGAAAAATTCAGTCTTAAAAACTGCACAGATACAACTTCTAGTAAAATGCATTCTGCGGCCCAAGAGCGCCTCGAAGAAATGCCAGATAACCTAATGGACGAGGACAGGTACCCCGCCACCTCTAAAAAGAAAAGCTCAGGTGTCCAATGACAAAAACTACTGGCGCAAACATCGACCATTAATCAAATGGAATGGAATGAAAAAACGTTATTTCAGTCCTGCAGGACGCGCTTAGCGCGTAGCGGGCGTCTCCCACGTAGGGACCAACAGGGAGTATCTAGCGGCCGCTTCGAGGGCCCTGCTGGATGGCCCATCTGAGATACAGAAAGCAGTTAAGGAACAGGCAGAGGCAACCAACAACCTCTAGCTTGCAATATTCATGATCATAAATATACTGAATAAACTCGAAGCTAATGTTGCCAGTCTCAACCCTAGGACGCCTTCGGTACTTGCAGCTACCAAATTTCCGATGAGCACTCAAGGCAATTCACACTTATCTCAGGGAACCGCATCAGCGGCTATATCATCTAATTTCTTGAGGCCTGCCTCCTTTCATCCCCCTCCCTCTTCTATAGCCAACTCTAAATAGGAAAGCCGAGAAAAAGAGACTTGATTATTTGGCAGTAGAATTGCAGGAGCTATGAAGGAAAGAGAGCAGTGCTGCACGAACACCTTAGGGACAGAACCAAACCGGATGTTCTAACTTTGCAGGAAACCCATGGTTTAGCTAAGCTACCGGGATATCAGGTGATAGGCCCCACAGCAGGGGTTTGTAGAACACTAACAACTATTGTAAGGAAGAGACTCATAGCAATCTGCCACGACACCCGCATCACAAAAATTGAGCATATACTCGTACAACTTGCCCTAACAGGAAAAAAATCTCCGAGCATATTTATTCTGAATTTGCACAGCAATCCCACACGCATACGACAACGCTTCCTTCTTTTCTTTAAAAAGGCCGTAGAAATAGCGGTACCCAATCCGCTCGACATAGGTCGAGACTTTAACGCTCCACACAGTGCTTGGGGTATGAATACACAAGAGCCAAAGGAAAAATACTATGGCAGGATATTCAAAAACAGGCTTAACTCTCATCACGGACCCCGACTCCCTTACGCGTATGGGAACTGGGCTTGCGAGAGACACCACTCCAGACTCAACGTTTGTTCGTAACACAGAGGACCGCTAAATAGAAAAACACAATCGATGATCCAATATTAGAAGTCAAGATAGAAACCATTGCTGCCGCAGAAATTTGGAGACAGATTAGATGGACCGACTGCGATAAATTTCGGAGAGCCAGAAAGGCGAAAATACAAGACCCTATCAAGATATTGAAGATTGGATCAAAGATGTCAATAACGTCAGCGAGGCAAGGCGAGCTATACTTCAAGTCCAACCCTAGAGCGAATTGATAGCCGTCTCGCACACATGCAGGAGGCCAAGCAATCACTGCAGAATAGATGGCGGGGACAGAGGCACAACAGACCCTTGCGCAAGCGCATAGCCAAGCTAAACAAACAGATCGAGGAACATTGTAAACAGCTAAGCAAACAGCAATGAGACCAAGTTTGTAATAGTCTCGACGGATGAATGCTGGCCAGAGATGGCGCATGCTCAAACATCTGCTAGACCCAGATAACACCGAATCAGCGCACAAGCGAACCGTACTTAAACTGGTGCACCGGTATAACGGCAGTGAGGAGGACTTTATCGCTGAGGCTAGCAATACGTACATTGCCGCCATGCCCGCTATAGAGCACAGACCATATACCGGAGGCCTGAACGAGCTCTTAGATGAGAAGTTTACCATTGTGGCTGAAATCAGGGCTGTGCGTGCTACAGAAGCTAAACACGAAATCTGCACAGGCACCAGACGGGATCACCAACAGAACACTATGGAATCCTTGACGACCAAGTCATAGAGAACATCACGCAATATAGTAATGAGTGCTGGGCCGAGGGCACTATTCCGAATCAGTGGAAAATAGCTTAAGTAATCCTCATCCCCAAGCCCGGGAAACCACCCGATCTATCGAATCTTACACTCCCATATTATTAACGTCCTGTGCTGGGAAGCTGATGGAACACGCTTTCCTAGACAGAGTCAACACCTATCTTGAGGAGAACGAAATCTACCCAGATACCATGTTGGAGTTCCGCACACGGCTCTCCACGCACGACACCATGCTGCAAATTAGGCAGCAGATTCTAGGCAACAAAACAAGATCTACCCGAGCGATCTCAGGATTAGACCTTACAAAAGCCTTCGACAAACCATCGCATACGGCAATATTACATCAGGTCTGCCAACTAATCTTAGGATCGAGAGCGTATAACTATGTCAAGGATTTTCTAACAGACAGAACAGGCATCCATCATAATGGGAGAACTGAGATCTGAGGAAAGACTTATATGGGCAGTGCTGGTACCCCGCAGGGTTCGGTCATATAACCAATGCTGTTTAATCTCATAATGATAGGGCTTCTGGCGCGGCTTAACTCAGTATATGGAATGCACCATTCAATATATGACGATGATATAACCGTCTGGACGTGAGAAGGTATTGATGGAGAGATTAGAGCAGAGGCTACAGGAGGCCGTCACCACTGTTGAAGAGTATCTTGAAAGTACTGGCATCGAGCACTCACCACAAAATTCCGAACTCCTCCTCTATCACCCCCGCTTAAAGGCAGATCACCCAAGGGATACAAACGGGACACTGCTTACGAAGAGATCCAAATTCCCACCAAAACGGCAGGAATATTCTTATAGTGATATATCAGAGTCCTTGGACTCATCATCGAGTCTATGGGTACAAATGGCGAAACCGTCAAGAGGTTAGTAATCAAAGTCACCAACGCAACACGACTAATCAAGAAAGTCACAAACAAACACCAGGGCATGAAATATGCTAACGTCATCAGGCTTATTTATTTATTCGCCATAAGTCGTATTATATACCTAGCGGCATATCCATACTGGTATACAGCCGGCAAAATCAAGATCAACGCACTCACATGAAAGGTGTACAAACAAGCTTTAGGCTTTCCAGATAGCACCAGCACTGAAAAACTGTTTCTATTAAGCTTGCATAACACTTTAGAGGAGCTGATAGAAGCGCAACAGATTGCCCAGTTAGAGAGACTAGCCAGCACGAGCACAGAACGGAGTATCCTTGACAAGTTAGAGATAAATTACTATAGCCATCAAGGAAGTAAACTGTCGGTTCCAAATGTTATCAGGGAAAAGATCCATTGATTGATTGATTGATTGATATGTGGGGTTTAACGTCCCAAAACCACCGTATGATTATGAGAGACGCCGTAGTGGAGGGCTCCGGAAATTTCGACCACCTGGGGTTCTTTAACGTGTCGCAAATTTGAGCACACGGGCCTACAACATTTACGCCTCCATCGGAAATGCAGCCGCCGCAGCCGGGATTCGAACCCGCGACCTGCGGGTTAGCAGCCGAGTACCTTAGCCACTAGACCACCGTGGCGGGGCAGGGAAAAAGATTCAGGTCCCCAATCTGCCCAAAAGCATGCACCCTGAATTTAGTCAGGGCAGAAGAGAAAGCCGTGCTAGAACTCTACTGAAGGCCTACGGCAGAGACAAGGAGGCATTGTTCGTAGACGCAGTGGAGTACTCTAGTCACAAATCTTACGTTGTGGCAGTAATAAAAACCGACCGCAAATGCGTAATCGCGTGCTCCATACGCTCTGATAATTCAGAAATCGCGGGAGACGTGGCTGTCGCACAGGCCATAATTTCCCCAAAGTGTAGGTATGTCATCAGCGACTCGCAGTCGGCGATCCGTAACTATGCACGAGGAAGAATATCTCCCGAGGCCACTAACCTACTCCTCCGCAAGGCAAATCTCATATCATCCGAGGAATTCGCAGCAGAATTCCTAGCCCACACCCCGTGTGCGTCCCTCATTCCCAACCTCAACGAGGAAGCTCACTGCGTAGAGTGAGGTCTCACTTACCGCACTCGCGATGGAGCTTTACATGAGGTACCGGGAGGAGAGGAGTGGTGATAGAGGGACAGAATGTTTAGGCTCTGCGACATTATCCAATTCTACCAAAATTTGAGGCGCAGATTTCCACTACCTAGCTCCACAATAGACAGATCTCAGGAGGTTGACTGGAGGTGACTTCAAACTAGAACATTTCCCAACCCGAAGCACTAAGATCGCATCTACCCCGAGCTATACCCAGATGACTCGTGTAAGCTATGTAGCATGTGACACGCCACCCAAAAGCATACTTTATGGGAATGCGCACAGATACAGGACGGCAATGCAGTCTCCCCAGAACAGCTTGGGACGCGGTGGAGAGCCGCGCTGATCAGCTCAGATTGTGCAGATCAACTATGGGCCATCCAGCGAGCACGGGAAGAGGCTGAGAGACAGGGTCTCTCCACCACCCCTTGTGGGGCTTAGGCACATGCCGCAATCTGCTGGTTAAATAAAGTTTGTTCACTCACTCACTCACGCTGTTGTGTAGCGCGTCGGAAGTTTTGACCATATGGCGTTATTTAACGGGTACTGACAACGCAGAGTACACGGACCCCAATCTTTCCGCGTTTCACGAAATGGAACCACCACGCCCAGGACCGAAACCACGACCTTCAGTTCGGCAGCCACTGTTTCCCCATGGCGAACGCTTGTGGGCTCCTGGAAAACCACGTGTTGACGAACACTTCATTTATTTCTTTTAGTTGCGAAAGTCACATGCGCGGCAACTGTGCGTCAAAAGTAGTGTATATTGTGTTTGTAAAGCACTCACAAGCCACGGGTGTCGTTCTCTTTTAGCGTTTATCCCACCGACTATTCTTGGCTGATATGGTATGGCCTTCTGTTCCACTTTGCCACAACCTGAAATGTACTGTGTCATTAGAAGTCGCTTATTTCACACTCACGTGAGCCCACGTGCAAGTAAAGACAGAAAGCGCAACTTTTTTCAATTGCACTCGAACGAAAGTACCAGCAAGACATGATGTCGTGTGGCGTTATTGTTTTCTTTTTCGCGAAAAACAACAATATTATGCTGATTGCGCATTCAGGTTTGCATATGCCAAAAAGAGCACTGTTTTTTGACTCTTAGAAAACATTCACAATAATATTAGGTAGAAAAAAGAAAGAATTCTTCGTGGTAGCTCCAATTCGTCAACCAGATGCAGAAAAATATGTATTATTATCATGCAGAAATATTGTATTATATATTAAATCACATATAAAACAGAACGGCGTGAACACAGGACGAATAAACGTAGCAGGTGAACGACAATGAATTCCACATGAATACTTTTATCGAGGAAAAGTATGTGTCCATAGAAACACACCAAAACATGAAAAACGATGATATTACAATATATGTTGCGTGTGCGATGTAAGATAGCGGATTTTTTTGTCTAGCAGATGAGGTGACGGCTTCCTTACGCATTGCTCTGCTTTCTAATAAATAGTAAAGGACTGGACTGTCTCTCGCTATCTCTATAGCCAGTGTTTCACTTCAGCACTCTTTCGCCACTCTCTAATTGATATTGTCATCGAAAGTACCTTTGCCTGGTTCAATTCAGGACTAATGGTCTTCATTCGTAATCCACACTCAAACGTGCTCTGCCTTATATCATCGAGGGCGCCTAATTCGGTGAACGCCTAGGCAATAGCAATCCTTGATGTTTAACGTCCCAAAACAAACATGTGAATATGAGGGACACCATAATGAAGGGCTTAGGAAATTTTGCCCCTGGAGTCAGTCTTTAGAATGCATCTAAATGTAGTGTCACGCATTTTGGCCTTCCTCTGAATACGGCCACCATGGAGGGGATTCAATCTCGCGACATTCAAATCAGATACCTAGAATATGATGACCACTACACCACCGAGGTGAAAGACAGCCTAGGTTAGGTTACTCTACGTGATAATAGCGCTATAAGCTGACTTCTTCGTGACACCTATGGCGTCGTCATTTTCTGCTATCACAATGATTGCTTGATGGAAATGGTGGTCTCAGTGTTAATTTCTGACGAGGTTGTTATCGCACTGAAAGCGGAGCAATAATCACAGCCGTTCGGTAGGTCTACACCTTACCCCGTATACGCTTCCTCGAATTTGAAAGGACTCACCACGTCCGTTGAGTAGGTAGGCGGTGGTCTGAAAAAAAAAACATAATTTACAATGATGACAGCCTCAGAGTTTCACACAAAGTTGCTTGCGCTGCATGGCGCATATGTCCTGCCCAAAAGCCGCATTTCGGGAGTGACAACCACCGGACGATATATGGCGTTGTGTTCGCTAGAGTTGGCCACCACTATCATCATCATCATCATGGTGTGGCGCTGGCGGTGACCCCTGGCGGAAAGCAAGCCTTGGTGGCGGGCGGTGGTTGAGCGAACCTCTTCTGCGCGTGGCGGTATCCGCGAGCGGTTGTCTCTAGCGTGGGTCCTCGGCGCGTGGCGCCGTGGGCCCACGCACCGGGAGCCCTCGTTGTAAGTCAGGTGTTGGCCATGCCGCATGGGGTGTGTTATTGTGTTTGTCATGTTATTGCGTGTTTGTCGTGTTATTGTGTTTGTGGTAGAGTGTATGGTAATGTGTACGCGGATGTCCTAGGTTGTTGATAACGATTGACAAAACGATTCAGCGGACAATATCGTCGTCTAGATTAGTTAAATAAATGCGTGTGTCTTTTGTTTGTGCCGACCGTGTCTTCTATGTCCGGTCACTTCATGAGCGTGGCGTGGCACTCACTCGCTAACAAGGAGAGCCCACAATATATATATATATATATATATATATATATATATATATATATATATATATATATATATATATATATATATATATATATATATATATATATATATATATATATATATATATATATATTGATAAGAATTATCACTACCGAAACCAGAAAAAACAAGAAAGCGCGGGTAGAGAATGAAAGCAACGTTGCCTCCACTGCGATCCCTCTGAGTGGGTACGAGCCATGGCGGTAGAGAAACAGGAGTCCGCACACGATCTGGTTCACTTGCGTACACATGCTGAAAATCGCTGGGGCGATGACAGGTCTCCTGACATCGAAGCAGCTCTTCTCTGACAATCTGCCGTATGGTCAAAGCAAGGTCATTAGGCGGCACTGTTTTTTTTTTTTCATGCGTGATCCTCATCGTCAATGGTGAATGTTACAAATGCCTCTTTACAGAATCATAGTCTTGTCTATTGTATTACATTTTCTAGGGTTTTTTATTGTAGTCACGGCTGTTTCGAAGGACTTTTATTACACTCACATGCTGATCACACGTGTTTTGTTCCCCGTGTTCATGCCTGCCCATAAAAGCGGCCACATACTCGTATTTCTGTTAATCCTGACGAAGGCCGTGCCACGGCCGCAACGTAAACAACTATGAAATTTTCGTAAGTGTGCTCCTTTATTTCTTAATATATATATATATATATATATATATATATATATATATATATATATATATATATATATATATATATATATATATGTGTGTGTGTGTGTGTGCATTTCATCTCTAACTGCGATCTAAGTTGCGACTTCCGAGCCCACGTTCGAGAGCACCTTTTACAAATATCACCTCGGCGGTTTGGCATGCTCATATAAATTGATAAATTGCATATTTCTGTATGAAGAAGATAATTACACCGGCAGACCAAGTTGCCAGCTATGATGTAGCAAACAATACCTCTAAAGTTAAACTGTAGTGCAGAAATTATCATTAGCTATGAAGATACGAAATTGGAAAAAACCGTGACTTGCGCCTATAGAGGCCGAACCTCCAACGTTTATGTACAGCATTTTTGTAGGTCAATGTTGAGCGAATGAAAAAAACATGCACCAAAAAAATCTCAAGTGTTTTTTTTTTTGCGCATGACCCATTAATTGTCAACCACCGAGGCCCACTGGTGTCCGTCTTATAATAAATGACGCAGTACATACCAAAAACCGTTATTTCGAAAATTTAAAACCATTGCATCACGTGAGTTCACTTAGAGTGGAATCAGTCTAGTCTTTAAAGAAAAATTGGTGACGTTATTTTGCCACGTCGAAGTCATCCACTTTATTTTTGCGTCACCGCCATGTCTTCTTGTCCGACATCGGTAAACCGTGAATTATCCGTAAATCTTGCCCAGCCGATCATCACGTAAAGACGGCGAGCTCGTGCTGCCACCACTTTCGGAGCCCTCTGCTCCACTACCTTGCCTTTATCTCTCACACTCAAAGCACACAGACTGCCGGCGAAAGAGGAAGCGCGCCAAGAGCAAACGCACTTGAACGCAAGAGCTAACGTGGTCTCGTATGACACTAGAGCACGCATCGGAGTGGAGCGAGTGCCGCAGTGTCATCTAGTGAGCTGTTCAAGTACTAGGGGTGCGAGCGCCTCAGCGCCATTGAGTGAGTGCTCTGAGTACTAACGGTGGCTACGACGGCGAACAAGTTCACACCGTAAGGAGCTTCGCCCCTTAAAACCTGACCGAGCGAGCATCACAGAGTCGTCAACGCAGTTATGTTCTTTGCATTTCACTTCGTGTCCGCGCGTGACAGCTCGTCATTGAAGTCGAATAGCTTCCACGTGCAGCACCAATGTGTCACCGCCGACTATTCGTGTGTTATAGCAACGACCTATTTAATAAAACTGCTGCAGTAAGCGCACCAGCAAGGCAACGGTGTCGACTGGCGGTTGTCATGCCTATAGGTGCAAGAAACCTGAAGCCAGCAGGACGTAGAACAGTGGGAGTCATCGCAATGGAGAGGTGCCACTATGCATCAACATCGGTAGATTCACGTCTAACAGTGCTATTGCAGCAAAGCACCAATAGAAGTTGTACACGCTCTAAATTGTCCCTACACGATAAGCAATATTTCTGTGAACACACTTTCCACTTTCCTGTTATACCGATCGCTATGACGGAGAGAGCCGCTATGTTTTTTAATTACCCCACAATACAACACAAGGACTACGATTTTCTTCATACGAAGGAAATACCTGATGTCCCAAGCACAATAAATATTCGTCGACCGGAAGCTTCGAGGTTGTCTCGGACATCAACGTACTCTACAGTTGACATATTTCAGTTGACACAGTTGACACGTACTCTACAGTTGACATTTTTGAAAATCTTCCTCACAGTGCAGCAGCTTAGATGTTGTCATGATTAAAATCGAACTGTGACCGCGAACTTACGTTCGTGGAGATGTCCTGCCTAAATATTTGGACATTAGCTCAATTACTGGAGCAGTGCGCGCATTCTCATGAAGGAAAAATGTGGAACTCCTTGCAGGAACAGTTTTCAGCTGTTTTGCCCCCATTAAAAAAGCAATATCAGGATTCAGAGTTCATTCGAAATTTGTTACTTTTGTTTGACTGTTATTGTAATGATATTACATGAATTGTTGAAATATGAGACACCTCCTTTCGAAGACAGGTTTAAACTTCTTGAAGGAGACAGCGTGTAAGACGCATAGAACCCGCACACTGGAAGTGCACTGCTTTTGAAGGTCACAGATGCTTCTCTCTTTTCCACTGTTAGTTTATCAGATCAGCAGGACGAAAAATAGAAATATTTGCCTTGAAACGCAATGAAATTCTTCGGCATTGAAGTTATGAAGTAAATTTCATTGATGCTGTAAATCAAGATTTCCCAGTGAACACCCCAATGGTAGGCTTTTCTTACCTCATATGCGATGCAAACAAGGAGCAGTGTCCATATATGCAAAGCGAATTTCCACCGGAAGGATGCCATCAAGACACAGTCTTTGCTCGTTTTGACGGATCCTACTGGTTTCGTGCGTAGCGCGAAATGCCGCGGCAGTTTTGCATTTTCTACGCATGGGAGGCCAGTCAAACTTTCTCCGAACTTATAACTGCGTCATGACCCAGGCATACCAGCTTCCCACACATCACTGCGTTCTTTCATTGGCTACTTCTTTTGCGAGGGGGTGGAATGAGCACACGCCTAATTCAAATCAAAGCGAACGTATTGCTGGTAGATTACGAATATTTACTTCTTACATCCTGCTCCATCCCTCTGAAATGACGACTGCATGAAATAGCTTCAATGCTATCAAGAGAGACGTTTATTCTATTACAGGTTCCCTTGGTTTATATTGTTGTGAGAATCACATTGGCCTCCTGAATGTGCATAGTGTTATTGTTGATGATTGACAATCTAGACTATTCGCGTTGGTATCTTCGAAAAGACACTCGACAATTTTTGTTGATGGTTTCGAACAAAGTAACTTTTAAATGCGGGAGAGCTAAGCGCATTTGTTCATTCCCTTGCATATCACGACGTCTTCGTCGGAAGCTGCGGCTCCATACTTTATGAGCATCAATACTCCGTCAAGAGTAAGTAGTAAATTTAGACTGATATTTAGGATTGTTCTACCGACAGGTGTCATTATAGGAGTGACAAAGTTCTTTTTTTAATTCCAGCAGCATTGAGGGCGGGAAATATACCATTGTGGACGTATAAATGAGCACAAAGACCATCCTGCTATCACAATGTGTTGTATAGCGAAATATGATGCTTAAAGTGCCTCCGATAATGCCATATTTATATTCTCTTATTGAAAGACATTGGTACTGTTTTAGTTATTTTTGCTTTCTGAACTTTGTGGCCTTAGTCACTTTGAAAAGTAGAAAACTACTTTAAGGAAACTGACGTTATTGACATATCATAATGAAAGACCTCCGTATTGGAAGTTAGGAAGTAATGCGGCTGAAAGTCTAGTGAAATCATGGCGTGCATATTTTTAAATCCTCTACACCATTCAAAAGTGACAACAAATTTTGTTAGGTTTGGTAGTCATTCATCACGAAAATCATGCACTAGAAACTCAAAAAATATTGTTTGAATCGTCTAAATCAATGAGAAGGAATGGTATATTTCTTTTATGTTGAGTAATCAACATTTCATCCGCACTTTTCACCGCACATCATCCGCACATCCGCACATTTAGTGCCGTCCATTAGGACAGTGAATTTGAAACTTTTTCGTGATAATAGCTACAGAGGCTGTAGCTTCTTCTTAACCCAATCATTTATTTGTTTGATTTTGTACTTATTCTCTCATGCACTAGGCAACCAGCCACAAAGCCATTACAGCAAGCGAAACGCAGTTTTTGCGTTGAAGCACCGGTGAATCTTGTTTCCATTATTTACAGCTAAAGAAAACAAGCGGCACACATATTTTAATAACTGAGAATATAAGTACATGTGTAACGCATATGGTATAAGAACTGCTTGCGAGTAAGGTACCCAAACAACAGAAGATGATTTATTCAAGTTGTACCATACACTGGATAACCTAGGTGATATGATCACAGCTCTGAAATTTTGCGGTGATACGAATTTTTTGGGGTCCTGGCCTACGCCGATTAGCATTCAATGTAATAGAGTACGTCTGTTGCAAACTGTTTATAGCGCCGCAATGTCCGATACGAACTTACGCTACTGTGCAAGTTCGACCATTTATGGCCTGCGCTACCACAGGAGAGTCGTCTATCATGCGCTGCTGCAAATACTCAGTCGCAGACATTCGCACCACGCTGCAAGTCTGCAATGGTCAGCCAATAACAGCGCGGCATAGCCTCCGAGATTGCGCACGCGAATCTTGGACGCCCAAGCGCGCCTTGATGCAGCTGACCCTGTTTTTTTTTAACCTCCAACGTGGCGATGTCTGCTCTGCTGCGCTCGAAGCAGCAATGTTCTATTGTGTTCCCGGTTGCCTGCAATGACCTCACAATAAGGTGCTCTACGAAGGACGAATGAGCACTGAAATAAGAAGGGTACGGTCTTAAAGAAGGGGCATGGCCTTTTGAAGTTTGGCCTGGAAATTCATCTGGGCAGTCGCCGTTGTAAGTAAGCCGGTCCTATGGAAAGGCTCTCAATCCCTTCGGCGCCGAGTCTGACAGACGCTGTCGAAGATTTGAGCAATTATCCAGACCAAACAGCAAGCAAAGGCGAGTTCCCGTCCTTCAAATGCGGACCCTTTTGTCGTCCCTTCAAGCAGAAGCGGTGACTAATGGACTCGGCGACTCATCGGGCAACGGGAAAGCTGGCGTGACCGGCGACAGAGCTGATGGCGGAGTGGCGCTTCTTTAATCCTCAGTCAAGTAGCCGACCGGCCGACTGCCTATGCCCGCCAGGCATTGTCCCTGCTGGCCTGAGGAGGAGACGTCGTGTCGCCGCGACGCCACGACGAAAGAGGGCAACAGAGACGGCGTCTTCCTGAAAGAGACCGTGACGGCCACCGCAGATGACCCTGCTAATTGGGCGAGCTAATTGGGCGAGCTGTGCGGTGGACCCTTTGAAGTATGCGGCCAGGATCGTGGGAACTCTCGACTAACGGCACACACACGACGAGGAAGAGCCCTGCTGGCGCCACCACAGTGCAGTGTTCACGTGGACCGTGCATGCTCGCCCCCCTCACCTGTGTGTGCGTGATTAGTATTCGACTCGGAGAGGAGGAGCCCGACAGGGCATAAAACGACGCCGCAGAGTGCTGGACGTCGCTCTGAACTATGTAACGTTCAACCACCACGCTCGTGGTTTGTGAAACCACTAACTTTTCCTTTCTGTAAATATGTGTAAATAATGTCATAAACCTTGTTTTGTTTTCCGTATCCTCTTGTCAGCGTTCGTTTTCTCCACCTGGTTACACCACGATACCACAAGAAACCGGGTAGTGCCCCATCCTTACAACTGGTTGGCAGCGGTGAGATGGACTTCGCGACATGGTGCTGTGCTCTGGTGAGTGCTTGGTCTTTGCCTTGACTTTCCAGCCTTCAATTGTGTGAGTTCATTAGAAGCTGGATTGTGTGTGGATTAGGGAGACTACCTTTTGTGAGTTGTAGGGATCACCTAATTATGTGTGAGATGCAGGACCAAACTACAACGGCAATCATGTCGTGGAAGGCAATGCTAAGAGATCAGCTTTTGGCTGTGAGTAAGCATCTAGGCATTGAAGTAGATGAAAGAATGGGCAGGACAGCGATTTGGATGCTGATCTCGCAACAAGCCAGTGAGGACGAAATTAAAAAAGCAGTAGAGATTTTTGAAAAACAGGAAATGGAGGAACGGGAGCGAGAGGAACGCAAACGGGAGGAGCAGAAACGAGAGGAAGGCGAAAGAGAGGAACGGGAACGAGAACGAAAGGAACGGGAAAAAGAAAGAGAACGGAAAAGAAAGGAACGGGAACGAGAACGAGAGGATCGGGAACGAGAGGATCGGGAACGAGAGGATCGGAAACGAGAGGAACGCGAAATAGAGGCATAGAAAAGGGATACAAAAGAGCGTGATCGAGCACGCGCCTTGGTGCTCGAACAATTGGAACAGAAAATTGAAGCAATGCAGCGGAAGTTTCAGCCATCCGCAACTGTAGCACACGAGAAGTGCGATAATCAAGTGAGTGAGGTGCAGTCCAGAGCAATAGAGAGGGCTAGCACGTGTGAAGAGCGCAGCAGGTTCACAGATGAACCGAATGTGAGAGCTGCGGAAGATGCTGCTATAATTAGAGGGGCCGACAAAGGCCAGAGCGAGTGCGACGAGGTGCTGTGCCAGTTAACTGTAAGAGAAACAGCTAGAATAGCTGTAGACAATCTGGCACAGACCTCAACTGTGTTCGTTGCGACGGTGGATCTTGCAAATGAGGTCGAAGTAGGCAAGAACACTGGAGAAAGCTCAGGAGAAGCAGCGAAGGTAGAGGATGAGAACAGTGTGGTTGTAGGCAGCTCCCAGCAAGACGAGAGATATTTTTTGCGGGAAAGCAGCTGCACTGTTTCTGAGAGCGTCGAGCTGTCCGCCGATCTAGAGTGTGGAATAGGTGATTTTCTCGAAAATCATTTAGACGGCGCGGGTTTGACAGCGGACGAATACTGTGCGAGATTTGACGAGCTTGCGATGAAATCGGAAGGCATGGCAACGAGCCGCAAAAAGCGGCGCAGAGGAAAGAGACGTCGCAAAGCCGCGAGTGAGACGAACAGCTCTACGCATGTTGAGAAAGGTTCGAAGCCTGTTAGCGCAGCAAGCAGAACTAGGCATTTTGCGTCGGTGTCAAAGTTCATTTGTATGCGTCTGAACTACCGGACAACAAGTAAAGGAACAGCGGGTTCGCGAATAGAATTGCGTGTAGAGCGCCGATCTTTCCGTTCTATCCACAGAACGTTTCAGGGCGCACCTGAGTACAGCGTTAGCACAGGTGAATCGGCCAGACAAGGCGACAGAGCAAAAAAATCAAAGTGCCGAAGTACTGTGGCAGGTGTTGCAGAAGCACCCTTGGGATTTGAAACTACCGATGATGCAACCCGAGGCCAATTTTTTAACGATGCAGGAAAAGTCGGGCGCACACGTTGCCGTAGAAGAGTGAAGCGTGCGCGCGCGACGAAGCAATGGGAGTACAGAAGTGGCAGGCAGCCGGACGAAAGAAATAAGGGGAGCTCATCGGCCAGTTCAGCGAAGAGCCCTTTGTGGCGGGAAGTAAGGCGCCGGCGGCGAAAGCGTAGTAGGCCACAGCGCAAGTCCTCGCGACGGTATGCGCGGTGGGGATTTAGAGCTTTTCATGAAAAAGAGTGTCGACGTGGTCCTAGAAGAAGGGCCACAATAGCTAAACACCACTCGGGAGCTAGAGCAAAGAGGACACCGTCGCTCTTTCCCACGCGTTGCTCAAATCCCCTCGGCCAAACTGACAGAAGTCGGCCGAAATCGCAAATGAGGCGTAACGCTGCAGTTCAGCTTGTTGCTCACTCACGTTGTTGTCTCGCACGTTTTCAGAATCAAAGACCACGACCACCACGTGTGCGACTGAAGAGTGAGGGACGGCTGTAAGCTGGAGAGAGTGACAGAGAAATTTTTTAGAAGCATGTTTGCTTATTTTTGGTTTTAAAGTATTATTCCTTTGTCATCTCCCCAGCTAGTTCGTGTAGCAGCAGGTTTTCCTTTCTGGATTTGTTTTTGTACGAGTTGTAAGAGCTTTTAGTTAAGTAGTTAAACATTATGCGGATGCAGTGACCCGCACCAGTCAA